GAACAAGACATGGAGATCAAGGAAGAAAGTTTGACTTGCTCATCCTCCCTTAATTGTCTTCATCCTCTCTGCTAGCCTCATTTGTATTTGGGTCAATTCTACCAGAATTATTTTTGGCATAAGTAGGGGCGTAGTTTACAAACTTCTAGGGACGGTTAACTAGGCCTCTGTAATTCACTGCGTTCAGGCCTACAGCAAGATAGGGTAGGGTCTTTTGAGTCCAGAAAAGCTTCTAGATAGACTCTTGGCTCTAGGACCATCCTTCATTTCAGGTATTGTGTTAGTTTCCCAAGCCGCATAACAAATTACCACAAACTGGTGCCATAAAAGAAGAGAAATTTTATTTTTCACAGTTTCAGAGGCAAAAAGACAAAAATCAACATGTTACAAGGCCGTGCTGCTTCTGAAGAGTCTGAAGAAGAAACCTTCTTTGCCTCCTTTAGCTTCTAGTGGTTGCTGACAACCCTTGGCATTCCTTTTCTGGTGACTGTATCACTCCAGTCTGCCTCCATCAACACAGCATTCTGTGTGTTTGTGTCCCTGTGTTTTCACATGGCTTTGTAAGAACACTAATCATTACGTTTAGTACCTAGTCTAATCAAGTATGATTTCATCTTAGTTACATCTGCAAAGACCTATTTCCTAATAAGGTCATATTCACAGGTCCCAGGGTTAGACCATCAGTGTATCTTTTTGTCTAATACAATTCAGCCTACAACAGGTACATTGGTCCAGGTTAACGATAACTTCTGTGCTTAAATGTGCTTGAGTATGAGATACATTTTGAAATATACTTAGAAAACAGGTTCCCATCTGTTTTAATTAATTATTTTTAAAGAAATGCTCATTAATGGGCGGCACCTGTGGCTCAAAGGAGTAGGGCACCGGCCCCATATGCTGGAGGTGGCCTGGCCAAAAAAAAAAAAAAGGAAAAAAAAACTGCAAACAAAAGAAATGCCCATTAAGTTTATTTAAACTAATTGAAGATTTAAAGATAGAAGCTGAGCACAGTGGTGTGTACCTGTAATCTCAGATACTTGGGAGGGTTACGTGGGAGAATTGTTTGAGCCTAGGAGTTCGGAGACCATCCTGGGGAATATAGCAAGATTCCATCTCAAAAAAACAAATAAAATAAAAAAAAAAGTTCATTTGCATTTTTGAAACTTAAAGACTTCATGAAAATAGAAGGAAAAGATGTTAAGAATTTAAAAAAACGTGTTTTTTTTTTCTTCCCCAGTTTTGGCGGGGGCCGGGCTCAAACATGCTACCCCTGGTATGTGGGGCCGGTGCCCTACTCCTTGAGCCACAGGTGCTGCCCTAAAAAACATTTTTATGATTTTTTTTTTCTTAGCAATACATTCCAAACCTAGAAGAATAAAGAATTTTTGAAGTTGAATTTGGCCAGAGTCCTAGGCAGTAGAGCAGAAAAGCTCTTGCTGATGTTCCAAATTTATGATTTTACCAGCTGTGGCAACAAGTTGGCAGAGATTGACTTCAATAGATGAGGGTTCCTGGGTACTGGCTGGCTGTTGGAGAAGAAGAGGTCAGCTTATTGCCCTAGCTTTTTCCCTATGTTCTTGGGGGCTGGAACCCTGACAAGGTGCCCAGGTGGCGAATGGCACTATCAAGCTGCTGCTCCCCTCTGTGTGACACCCAGGGCATGTACATTCTTCAGTGGTGTGTCAGGTTCCAATATCTGCATCTTTTCAACTCACCATAGGTAAAGTCTAAGAGTTGTTTATTAAAGGAAGTTTAAGTTCCTACTCTATCACAATGATAGGACTATATCAAGTTTAGCATTGTGATTAAACAAAATTCCTTAGCAACAATATATGTTTATGGCTATTGAATTATCATGGCTATTATGAATTTTTTGCTCCTTTTGTGTTGTAAGGAACTGTGTGTGTACACCGTGGACAGATGGGAGATGAATAAAGAGACAGGGCTCTTTATATCCTTAGGGAAATTTGAAGTTAAGAGTTGACAAATAGGAATCAGAGGTTCACGTAGCAATTAATAAAGGTTTATGTATGCCACAACCTTTGGCTTCTGTAGGAAAAAGCCCTCAGTGTATTACTTAATAACTATCTGGACAGAAGTGGAGTAAGTTAGAGGCAGAGGTATGTTGAAGGCTTCAGAGAGGTTTAATGGTGAAGACCTCGAGGAAGAGTAGGATTCATTTTGATTTTCCCATCTCAGAGTTGGGGGTCAGGCTGTGGCTGTAATACCACTTGAAGCACAGTGGTGTGTAGCTTGCCTACCCTCTGCCCTAAGTGTACCCTGACTTTCCTGAGTCAAACTGAATCTCCAACTACTTGGGTAAAGGGAGTCAGGGTCGGAGGGAGCACCTGTAACTGTCTGGGCCAGACTGGGCACTACTGGCTCCAGTGTGGCTTAGTCTGTGTACCCTGGGATGTGATAATTTTAAGTATTCCTTCAGGCCATGAATAGTATTCCTTAAAAAGGGAGCTTTCATTTCATGTCTGTTTGTGGGAACATAGCCACAACTATGTCCTCAGGGCAGGGACCGTGGTAAAGCCACCATACTTCTGGGGTGAGCACAGGGCAAACAATGTACAGACATCATTTCCTTTGACTAATCTTTTATAATCCTAGTCCAGATGTGGCTCCTGGTAGTAAAAGTTCTTTGTGTAAATTGAGATTTTTAATCTAGGACCCAGATGGGGTAGGAGGTAAACTTCTACAAGGTCTGTTTTACACAGTGTGTCACCAGCCTGGATTCCTGGCAGGCAGCAATACCACTGGAAAAGCCGCTTTCATCCTGACTCATCCGCCTCAGAGAGACGTATGCTTCAACACTGCAGCACTCACAGCAGCCTGGTCTTGCTGGCCAGAGGAGTGTGTGTACTGTCCCCAGTGGCTACAGGCGCCTGGCCTAGCCCATGGAAAACCGTGAGAGGAGATAGTCTGTTATAGGGCAAGAGCTTTGTCCTGGAATTTCCTGGCTTTTGTCTGTCTGGTGTAATAACTTCATGTATCAAGATGCCTGTTTTCAGTGTCTACTTCCTTCTGGGGGGAAGAACAACTCTGCCTCCTGTACCAAGCCATCCCTCACCCTGCCTGTGGGGCTGGGGATAGAGCATTAGGACACAGGTATGTCCCTGGCTCCCTGCAGAATATGTTCGTGGCAGTCACTCATCAGAAAGAGAAGCCATAACCATTGGGCATAAAGCCTGTGTCTGGCAGCCTGGCCCATTCACCCTGGTCCTAACCCTTGTCTTTTTCCAATATTACAGCAGAAAAAATCCTACCTGGAGCGAAGCGTTAAGGAAGCTGAGGACAACATCCGGGAGATGCTGATGGCACGAAGGGCCCAGTAGGGAGCCTCCAGGGGAAGCTTTTCCTCCCGACCCCTGCTCTGATGGACATTTTATCTGGATGGCCTAGCAACCTCACATTTTCTACAACATCCTGAACCCCTTTCAGATCCTAATGCCATAATTTTTACCCTGGCTCTGCCTGCCACCCTGCCTAGACACTCTTCTCTCCCGGAATGAGTCACAAACTCTTAGGAGGGAAGGTGGGAGCCAGGACAGAGAGGGAAGCTCTCCGTGAACTTACCACTATGCACACTGATCAGACCAATAAAAGGCCTCTGTCCCATTCTGCTAATATGCTTTTCTTGAGCTGAGGGACAATGACAGTGAGAGGCAGTGGCCATTGCCACCTCAACTCCTGCTCCCTCTGCATTGGAGTCTTTCCTTTCTTGGGGTGTGTAATCTTGTCCTTTTTTTCTCTCTCTCTATCTTTGATTAAACCCTCAACTTATGGTCCTCCATGTATTTGTGGTATACAGATGAGGAAGAAAGCAAGTTTAAGTTCACAGCTGAATGTAAGTGAACAGAGTAACAGTCCCTCTAGTACCATATGCCTAAAGATTCTTTTCCCTGCTTCTTTCTAAACATTCCAAAAGAAAGTTCTCTACTTTTGGCCAATATTATAAGACAGACTTTATAATCCTGAGGCATCCTAGAGGCTCAGGGATAGTGAATGATGTGCTGAGCTGACTGTCTAATTTTAAGGGATTTTGTTGCAAGCCAGTTGTTTAAACATAGCCATTATCAAAGATTTATGTAAATTTGCAAATTATGTAAAAACAAGGAAAATATTCAAAACTCATCCCGTCCTAATTATTGTACTACATTGATGATTATCCAGTCACAGTGAGGTTAGTAGTATCATGTCTAGGTGATAAAAATACCACAGAATGGTGCATTCCTATGCTTTTCTTCCCAACTTTACAATCACTGACATGATTGAAATCAGTGGCATGGTGGGAACATTTATAACTGAAATAGGAGATATTAAAAATCACAATTTTGGGGGGAGAGATAACTGGTAGTTAAACATTTAGAAGCACATCACTGCTTCAGAAGGAAGGCAGGCAGAATACTCAGGGACCTGCAGTGCGGGCTGGGCCCAGCATGTTGGGTGAAGGAAAAAAAAAAAAAAAAAACTGACTTACTTGCTGCTATGGCAGCTCAGCGCCACCCTGTGGCCAAAGATGAGATGACTGATGTAGCTGACTAATTTGGGGTGAGGGCGTGGGAAGGGACAGCAGGAAAAGAAACCTTCTGGTCTGGACCCATGTGACTGGATTCCCAGTCTTCCAGGGAGCAAAGCCTAGTTACCAAAGGGCTCTATTGCTAGGCTCTGGGTAAGGCAAGTACAAGCTGAAGTGGCAAATGCTCCTGGCCTGAGCCCATCTCTGACAGGGACAGAATGCTAGTGTAGCAAGGGGCCCTATAACCTGGCTGAAGGACACCTGGTGTCAGAACCTGCCCACCTTAGAGCACCTACACTGTTTGTCTAATGGCAAAATGAAAAGGTAAATGGGCTCCTCCTCACGTGCTGGACAGTGGCCACTAGGTGAGAGACCCTCATTTGCCTTGGCAGATGAGTAGTTAAAAACAGTGAGAGTCCAGGAGAAACACAGACTCAGGGCAGCTCAAATTATATGTGGAATAAATTTAAACAAGTGAGATTTGGACAAATTTATTGAAACATAGGGTGATAGCAAAGAAGAATTATTCCATGGTGTGTTACATTTTGCCACTACTTTGAATATATAATTTAAAATCATAAATATATATTTCATAACTAAGCCTTTGGCCAATAAAAGGAATCATTTAGCACATTTGTTAAAGATTGATAAGAAATGCACTTCAAACATCGAAAAGATCAAGATCAAGTCACTGAATTAAACACCAGCAACCCCTACTAATCTAGAATACCATAGTGTTGAAGGAAGAGGTTTCTGTGCAGAGCTAGTCATTATTACAGCAATCAGAAGACATGGGGGCAGGCACACCAACTGGAGGTGGCAGCAGAGTGGCAGGATGAAGGGCTGGCCTGGTCAGGTGAGCATGTCCCAGAGACAGCAGCAACAGAGAGCAGTCCAGCAGGCTGTGAGGCAGGTGGATGGTCCCACGTCATCTCTTCTTTGGTCTTCCACCACATACACTGGAGGGAGAAGGGGAAAGGGAGAATGAACTGGGGTAAACCTCAGACCTGCCAAATGAGCTTCTCCGGACTAAGGGGGTAGGGGCTACAGTGGAACCCTAAGGCAGACTAGCACAGCCTTTTGGCTCCTGTCATTGATGATGATGAATGGAGGGAACTTACAGAGTGACCCTACACTAAGGCAGAAGGAGGTGGATAATGCTACTTGGTTTATAGACCTCCACCCCACCGGGGACCTAGGGGGGTACTTCAGATACAGTTAGTTAAGCCACCGCCCAGGAGTGAGAGGAATGGGAATTAAAATCTCCTAAAAGGGCTTTAAGCCCAAGAGCCAGGGTTTTTCATACTTGAGCAATACACAATTTCAGAATGAGCCCCCAACTTCTATACTTTGACACAAAACATGACAGCTTTGACACAAAGCTTAAAGGCAGAGATAAAAACTGGTCCCACAGGACAGGATGGCTGAATGGAGTTGGAAATCTAAGCCCTGTTAGGAATAAGTGCTTTATTAAGAGATCTGAGTGCTAAGCAAATCCACAGGTCAAGAAGGACCAACCACCCTCTACTTGTCAGCTGACTTGCGGCCAACATTAGCTGCTTTTCCGGAAAGGACATATTCTAAATGGCTGATAGTTGACCTGTGGCCACTTTAAAAAAGAAAAAAATCTCAAAACAGCAGCCATCAACATCAAACTCATAAGCAGTAATGATTTTGATTTTTTTCTAAGTTCATGAATGCTTGAATCTTATAAATTAAACCAGTTCTCTGGCAGTTTTCTTTCTATTTTCTTAATCTGTTTTTAGCCCTCCTTTCTTGGCAGCTTCTCTCTAGAGCCTGGTGGTGTAGCTAGAATGGGGCAGGGTTAGTAGGGAGTGCTTCCAAATCCTCCCATTTTATCAGTCACCCTTCCCTCCACAGAGATGTTCCTTTTCCTTCTCTCACAGCACGGGTTTAGTCCCAGCCCACTTTCATTTGGCCCCACTCAGCAACACACACACAAGGCTGTTCTGGGCCTGAGAGACAACCCACCGCTGGGAAACATGGTTGGGGGAGAAGGACCTACAACGTGTTCATTCTGAGGCTTCATTAAGGTCCATTACCTCATTTAGTCCTCTTGATAATTCTAAGATAGATATTACCACAACTGCTACTTCATAGGTAAGGGACTTAAAGCTTAGAAAGTTCTTTTATCCACATATATACTACCAGGCAGACTCTGAACTCAGGCCTTTATGGCTCTTCTAAAACCTCTGGCAAGCCCATCTTGCTCAGGCCCAACTGGGATAAAAAAAGGACCAGGAAGAGCACAGAGGTGACTTGGGGCTATGGCAAAGTACTCTCTCATACCCAGCCAAAGCCTGCCCCACCTACTGAGCACCCTGGGCTGTGGAGTCATTATAGCAGGAGAGCCAGGCAATGGTACCTCTCCATTTGAGGACCTGTTTGAGGTCTGTTCTCCAGGTCTGCATGAGCAGCCTTGGGCAAGGGAAACCAGGATGTAATAGGCTGCAGACCCTCTTGGTAACCTTTTTCTTGTAGTCTCCCTGCCAGAGGGTTGGAACTCCTGCCCTGAAACAGAAGGGCCCCCTCCCCTGCTAGCTCTAGAAATAGTCTGCTTGATTCACTCACAGGCCAGAAACTGGGCTCAAGGCTGGTTGCTGTGTGAGTGGTCCTAAGTCTTTCCTAAGCTACCATTTACTGAGAGGTTCACAAATGCCAGGACCTGTGCCAAAGGCTCTCCAGATATGGGCTACTCCATCTTCACAGTCACCCTGAGATGAGTATCAGGACACTCATTTGATTGCTTGCCCTTGTCCTCATCCCACAGAGGCTTTCCCCCTCTCTTCTGTCAGAACCACTGAACCTCAAGCAGCTTAGTCAGAGAAGCAAAAATGTCCCAGTCTTTCTTCCTCCATCACCTTTCTCCTCCGGTTTAGTCAAGTTTGACCTTGCAGGGCTTCTTTCACACGACACTCTCTGAAACCTGGGGAAGCTGGACTTTGAGCTTATTACTCCCTGACAATGTTTCTAGAGGTTAGAAACAGTCAGTGGCTACAGAACAGAGGACTTCAAACCAGAGGGCTACGTCAACCATGACGGGGGTACCCACACACACCTTAGAAACCTGAGTCAGTTTCTGGAGCATCAAGTCCTCTGAAACCCTGATGACTTTTTTCCCTTTAACTAGCTGAGGACACCACCTCTACCCTAGGCTGCTGGGGGTGAAGGTTGGGTCTGGAAGTGGGAGTGATCTGTGTTCTCCTTGCTTTTCAATCACCCAATAGAGAGATTGGCCCAGGAGAAACCCCTTAAGGAAGACCTCACAGTTCCTCAGGGCACCTGCTATGGGGCCTAGATGTCCTACTGAACCACATCTGGAGAGTGCCTTCTGTTCTGCCACTGTCCTGTCACAGTGGAAATCTAAAGGAGAACTCATATGCTACCTTGCCTGGTAATCCATGCTTCCAGAGTCCAAGGACATGACAACCTGGGTACTTGAAGCCAGTGGTCCCCTGCTCACTGAAGCTTAGTTGGCAGTACTAGTCACCCAGCAGGAGCTGGGGCAGAGATGGCCCAAACCCAGCTGTTCCACAGCCAGAGATGAGCCAGAGCACACCAGGGGGCAGAACAGTGACACTGTAAGTCATTAACAATATGTAGAGGCTCGGTGCCTGTGGCTCAAGTGGCTAAGGCGACAGCCACATAAACCTAAGGTGGCGGGTTCGAATCCAGCCCGGGCCTGCCAAACAATGATGGCTGCAACCAAAAAATAGCCGGGCATTGTGGCGGGTGCCTGTGGTCCCAGCTACTTGGGAGGCTGAGGCAGGAGACTCGCTTGAGCCCAGGAGTTGGAGGTTGCTGTGAGCTGTGATGCTACAGCACTCTACCCAGGGGGACAGCTTGAGGCTCTGTCTCAAAAAAAAAACCAGTATGTAGAATACTACCTCTGCAACTTATCTAAACTGAATTCCTTTGAAAAAGTTTTGTATTTTTTTTCTTTTTTAAAGAAGAAAAAAGGGGAGGGGTCAAAAGAGCAAGGAGTGTGGGTATTGCCTTTCTGGGCAAGTTCAATAGTCAAGGCCCAGCCCTGGAAGAGGTGGCTGGTGCCTGCAGTGGCTGCTCAGATCAAGCTCCTCTTTGGAGATCATGTGCCCCTCAGAGGCCAGTATGGGGACAAAGGCTTGGCTGCACACTGGCTTTCCTTTCATAAACATAAGCCACAAGGTTGACCTTCTCAATTCACTTTCTAGTGTCTTACACCACCCTTGCACCCTGGCCCCATGCAAGAAGGCACAATAGGGATACTCCATTCCCGGGGGACTGTAATTGGGTTGGGGTCAGGTCCAAGGATCCCTTCACTGGCTTGCCTCTTGCCACAGTCAGTTTTTTGAACCAACCCTTAGAAGTCTTAGCCCCAGCCCAGTGTGAAGCCTGCAGAGGGGAAGGTACCCAGAGCTTTGCCATCTGATGCAAGTGTAGGAGATGGGTGGGGAATGTGTGGAGAGAGGTATATGAGCATACAGGAGCAATCCAGAAGCCTAGACTGGCCCAGGAAAGCCTGGGGTCTTGGATGCATAACAGCTTTGAGAAGAGCTAAGCAACTTCTGGCAGGGACATTCACCTACCTTCTGGCCTTTGTGCAGAGAAGATAGATGGAAGATGCCAGAGGCATATAGTCTCTTGTGACTAACTGCCTGTCCACCAAGCCCTAAGATCTTCTCCAGGGCCATCAGTTCCCACTGCAACCGTGGCCAACAGTAGTTGCCTTGGTCCCAGGATCTAGGACTACTGTACTATACAAGCCCAGAGGTGATGCAATGGGCAAGTGGGGCTCCTGTCCTCATAGGGGCCAGGGCAGGAATGACCTACAAGAAATGTGAGCAGATGCCTTCTCCGGTGAAAGCTTCAATTCTCAGTCAGCACCATTCTGGCATCTGAAACTTCTACTTGCACAGCTCAGACTTTTTAAATGATTAATCAAGTGCTGTGATGTGACAGTAGGTCTTTCCCATTTGTGTATACATCTGTACCCAGTCCCAACCCAAGCTGACAATTGCTGGACATGTGGCTAGAGATCCAGAAGTGCTTGGCATTCTTCAGGAAAGATCATGTTATCCTACAAGAAGCTATCATTCCATTTAAATAAAGGAGAAAATAAGGATTTTTTAAAAATTATGACCAACAAGAAAAGAGGTTAACAAACCAGGGCCCCTTGGGCGGCACCTGTGGCTCAGTGAGTAGGGCACCAGCCTCAGCCAAACTGCAACAAAAAATAGCTGGGCGTTGTGGTGGATGCCTGTAGCCCCAGCTACTTGGGAGGCTGAGGCAGGAGAATCGCCTAAGCCCAGGAGTTGGAGGTTCTGTGAGCTGTGACTCCACCACACTCTACCAAGGGCAATAAAGTGAGACCCTGTCTCTTTAAAAAAAAAAAAAAAAAGAAAAGAAAAGAAAAAACCCAAAAAACAAACCAGGGCCCTAATCCCCAAGTCCCTGCTACCAACTTGGTAAGTGGCCAGACCTGAGCTGAGGCCCCAGCTCTGTTTTCCCACAGCTAGGTAACCACATGCAAGTCACGTAATGTTTTTGAGCCTCTGCTTCCTACTCTACAAGATGGGAGGAAACAGTTGTGAAAGCTACTTCTTGAGATAACACAGGAAAATGTTATGATAATGAAAAAGGTTAATATCATTAAGACATCCAAAAAAAAAGCTCTCATCATGGGGTTTCTTAAATAGTAAGGTCATATAGTACATTTCCAACATTATTTTTCATAATTTGACAGACCATTGCCCATGTTCACAGCACCAGTGAAGACCAAGGTTGTAGTACAGCATATGCATTCCTGTTTGCTGGCCCAGCCACATGTACAAAGCTGGATCTTACAAAACATAAAGCAGTAAGCGCTCCAAGCCACAGACGGCAGGAACCAGCAAGTCCACAGAAATGCCAAAAGCTGACTGGAGGGCTCAACAGCTTCATGTGAACGTGCTCTGTC